GGCATGAGAATTGCTTGAACCCAGGAGGTGGAGGTTGCAGTAAGCTGAAACTGCACTCCAGCTTGGGTGACAGAGTGAGACTTTTTCTCAAAAATAACAAAAACAAAAACAAAAACAAAAAATGAGGGTGTTTGTGTTGACTTCAGAATAAGCAAATTGGAATAATCAACAACTTCCTTCCTGGATTTAGAAATACAACGTCAAAGGCATTTGCGCATTTTTGTAGCCCGCAACGTTTGAGCAGACCCATACATCTGTAGCCCATGCTTCAGTGCCTGCTTTGAAACCCAGATAAAAGAGGACTGGTACATCCCGGCTGGTGTGTTTTAAACAGCCAAGCAAATTCAAGTGGATCCACAGGCCCCGAGAGTGTAAAAAGTAACACTGAGGGATAAATATGGAGAAGCTGATTTGCTGCCCAACCTGAGGGTCCAGCACAGGTCTGAGCAGGCCACCTGCCTCTTCTTAGAGTCATCTTCTCAGTGAAGTGGGGCTGCTGCAGCCTGCCTCTTTGGAAAAGCTGTTTGCTGGCCTCGTATGTGAGAGGTATGCCCAACTCACTTCGGGAAAGTTATTTCAACCTTTTGCTACATCAGGACTCTGTGACTGGTGAACATCAAAAACCCGAAGAAACACACATCCTTGCCTGCCCTCGGTAATCCTGGAGAGAATCTCACTGGTTGATAAGAGGTGACTCTGAATTTTGTCTGATTATTCTGGAGCTGACTTTTTTGAGTGTCACAGGTAGCACAGACATTTTTGAAGCATAACTTTGATAACTACTCTTGCTGCGGCTGCTGCCTGCCTTGTTCGTGCTTCAGACTCAGTTCCTGCTGAACTCTGCATGGAAAGAAGTATTTCCCACTACGGGGCTCACACAACTAAATGGCACCACTGAAGTCCCCTGGTTAGAGTCTAATTAGTGTGTGGCTTTAGGAAGCGGGACAACACGTTTACATTTTTGCAGGCTATTACCTGAACGTGATCCCTGAATAGCCTCAGCTGTTCAAACAGTAATGATGCATACAACGAGGAATGTGTGTGTGTGTGTGTGTGTGTGTGTGTGTAAGAGGACATACCCCTGCCCACTGGCTGGAGTGATGTATTAGCAATCCTGTGTCAAGAGGGGTCTAGGCTTGCTTAAGATTTAACACAGAGGCTGCACTGTTTTTTTCTGGGCAGGGGATGGGGTGGCGGGGAACATTCTCCCTCTGTTGCCCAGGCTGGAGTGCAGTGGTGCGATCTCAGCTCACTGCCACCTCTGCCTCCAGGTTCAAGTGCTTCTCCTGCCTCAGTCTCCTGAGTAGCTGGGATTACAGGCACCCGCCACCATGTCTCACTAATATTTGTATTTTTAGTAGAGATGGGGTTTCACTATGTTGCCCAGGCTGGTCTCAAACCCCTGACCTCAAGTGATCCACCTGTCTCAGCCTCCCAAAGTGCTGGGATTACAGGCGTGAGCCACTGTGTCTGGCCAGCTGCACAATTTATTATCCACCTAAAAGAAGCCCGATTTTATTTTCAGAGTGCTCCTTGTGTGAACTGGGGTTGTAGGAAGGAATGACATTTCTCCTCCTTTGTTCAGGTGGGGTGAAGCCTTGACTTAGAGGTAAGGGAGCTTCCTTGGCCAACGTGGGGTGGGAGCTGTTTCGAGCTGTTCTCATCTCTGACCTGTTTCCTGACCTGTGAAATAAGAAGGTTGGGTGGTTGGGTAGGATCAGTTTCCCAGGCTTGCCTGTAGGTGAGTAGCCCCTGGAGTGCTCACTCAAAAGCCACTCTGCTCTCCCAAATGAGAATGTTTAGGCATGAACTCTGTCATGACCAGACACCCAAGTGATCCTCCCCCTCAATGCAGAATGGTGGTCTGAACAATCTCTAACACATCTTCCAACTCCAAAACTCCTGTCCCAGCTATGTCTGGAAGGCAGTGACTCCTAACTATTCCTGAGACCCAAATGTCTGCAAGTCTAACAACAGCTGTAGATGCTCGGTTTAGTAAAAATGTATGCAGACACAGAATATCAAATTTAGTTGCAGGGTCTGTGGCCCTTGATTAAGAATTCCTACTCTAAGGTCAACCCTTGAAAGAGAATACAAGCATTCATCTGAGCCAGACATGAAGCAGCTGCTCACTAAAGGTCAGTTATTACGCTATTTCTGTCTTTCAGCTTTTCAATGAAATTCTAATATTATCTCATTGTATAGATGAGGACACCGAGGCATAGAGTGACTAACATGCATTGTATGTAGGTTGTGGCTGAATTTGAACTCAACAGTCTGATTCCAGAGCCAGTGTGAATTTAAATTCTGGGCTGCCTGATAAAGTGGTTATCAGTTTTGCCTACCTGAATTCATAGCACTTTCTGCTCCTAATATTTCTGACCACTTCCCTATACTTCCTTATATTAGTCATAATTAACTGAGCAGCTACTATGTGCCAGGGATGCTACACACATTGTCTCATTGAAAAATGTCCTCAGAAACTGATATACAGTATTTTTTTTGTTTTGCTTTTTTGAGACAGTTTCATGCTTGCTGTCCAGGCTGGAGTGCAATGCTCCATCTTGGCTCACCACAACCTCTGCCTCCTGGGTTCAAGTGATTCTCCTGCCTCAGCCTCCAGAGTAGCTGGGATTACAGGTGCCCATCCCCCCATGCCTAGCTAGATAACACAGTACGAATATACATGTTGGGTCCTAAGTAAAGACAGAAAAAATTAGGAAGGTAAATATATCCTAAAGCTCAGAAGTTTTTTGGATTGTTGCTTCTTTGGATAATATATATTTCACTATGCTATCAGAAAACTAGAGATTAAGTAGAAGCTGAAGATTTTCTAGTTCAAATATTATTCTCCCAGGGACCAGTAGAGAATAACAATAAACACAGCTATTTGCAAGGATTAATTCATTCATTCTGAATCTTACAAAGCCTGTCAATGGTTCTGTCCCTATTTCTAGCGTTTTAACATTGATCAGATGTGGGCTGGCTCTCTTTGCACTGCTAGGCAGAGCTACTGTTTACTGAGCAGATGCTTTGTGCTGGTGCTGTGCTCAAGCACTTTATTTGGATTATTTCACTTTGCCTCACAGCAGTATCAAAGCTTCTCATTTCAGATACCCCTTTTAAACAAAAAAACTTCAAGTGGAGACCTTGTCTGATTTCATGGCTGCACATTTTCCAAGTGGGAGAAATGCACAATTGAGGAACACACCCAAGGCTGCTCAGCAAGCCCGGGAGACAGAGTGGGGTAGGGAGGGAGGGATCATGTGCAAGCAAGAACTGGGGCAGAACCTGTACCTTCCTGATGATTCTCAGTCCTGTCTAGGTGGCATCACTTAGCAGGCTGGCCCAGCCAAGATCACACGCACAGTAGGAGGATCCTAAATCACAAGGAATCACGTGCTCTACTGACTGAAACCAACACATAAAAAGGTCTAGGCCCATTTCATGTGAGTGAGACCCAGAGGGGCTCCCTTGCTCAGCCATACCTCCTGGTGCAAGTGGCTGTCCCAAAGGGCAGGCCCTGCCACAGCCCCACCCTGGGACACCAGACTCCTTGCCACCATAGAGGGATTAGCAATTGAGGTAGGGCACACCTAGGTGGGGCATCCATATAACCTTTTCTAGGTTGGCCTTGCCCAATGTGACGCGGCCAGCCAGGAAACACCAGATCTGAAATACCCATCTGTGCAGAACCCACTGAAGGGGTGGGGTGTCTAGACCTTAGGAGTGTTGGGCTTGTTGTCAGGGGAGGGGTGGAGCAGGCTGCTTGGCCCTGACCTCACCTTAATAGAGATCCTCCCATTTTAGCCTCAGAGCTTTAATATATAGTCACAGAAGTGTACTGAAATAGTCATAAGAAGGAATGTTCTCCATACAACTTTAAAGTTGTACAGTGTTTCCTGCAGTGAAATGAATTTTTTCACGGAATAGATTTTTTTTAATGAGACTAGAAATTAACATGTGAGTAGCAAGCAGCATGACACATTACCTCGTGTGAGTGTGTGTGTGTGTGAAAGCCATTTGTTAAATGGAACACCTAAAAATACCATTGCTTTTGTTTTTGCAGTTGTCAGGGGCCTCAATAAATGCAAGTGGCTCAGGTAATGCTTGACCTGAGAGGTCTGGAAAGACAGATTAGAAGTCTCAGCAGAGGACCAAACTCGGACCCCATTTCTGCAGAAGTTCTGTCCCCAGATCTCCCCACTGCAGGCATAACCAGCAGCCCTTCAAAGGTTCCAGCCCAGCCCAGGGTTGTCTTTAGAAATGCAGACCCGGGATCAGCTCTGCTACCAGCTGTGGGATCTTGGGTCAGTGGCTCGTACTCTGAGCTGTTTCCACAGTGCGAGGCTGGCCAGACAGTGTTATATTTCAGAGTTCTCCTGTCTGTGGCATCCTCAGAAGTTAAAGTTTTGCTTGACGGCTTATAAGGTGCCCTGGGAGTGTAGACCTCCCACAAGCCAGCTGCCTGGCTGGCAGTGGGTGTGGGGTAAGTGGTAGAGAGAAAACAGGTGGCCTGGAAGCTGACAGCTTGGCTCCAGATTCTCCCTAGTAAGCTTGGAGTGATGCTGGAGCAGCTCTGGGCCGAGAGGACCAGCTTAAGGCTGGATGCAAAAGACTGGGCCGCACCTAGTCTGTTCATCAGGTATTAAATGCTTTCCAAAGCTCTGGTGATTCAGTAGTGGACAGGTAAGTTTCCTGCCCCTCCTGGGGCTCCGTCCAGGGGTGGCGAGGACATCACTATATGAAATTATCTTATTTATAGCTTTATTTCATTATTTAAAAAGGGGGGGGAATCATTTGAGGGGTGAGCAAGATTGGATGGAATGGTCAAAAAAGGTCTTTGAGTTCTTCCAGTTCTGAACTAACTCACACGCACCCTTGGGCCAGTCATTTTCACTCCCGAGGGTCTGCACTCTGCGCTGCTACATCCCAGAAAGAAAGGGGGTGGACTCCCCCCTCTTCAAGCTCGGTCAGGTCCGATTAGCGTGCTGTGTTCCACTTCCCAAGCGGGGCTGGCTGGGTGGGAACAAGCTCCTCGCCGCCTCCCGAGCGCTGGCTGCGAACACACGGCCGCCCGCCCGGAACTCCCTTCAGCCCCGTGGCGGAGCCCTGCGTTTTCCCAGCGGAGCCGGGCCCGGGGCAGCTCCCTCGCGGGCGGGGCTCACCTGTCCCGGCCCGGCCCCCTCCCGCGCCCCAGGTGGCTCAGGGCGGGGAGGAACCGCGCCCCGCCCCGCGCGGCCGCAGCCAACGCCAGCCCCAGGCGGGCGCGCGGGGAGCCGGCGCTGGGAGCCGGGCGAGGGCGCCGAGAGGCCCGGCGGGCGTGGGCGGCGAGGTGAGCTGGGCCGGCGCAGCGGGCAAGGGCGGTGGTGGGTTCGGGGACTGCTCACCCCGCGCCGGAGCGAGTGCGGGGCCGCGCGGCTGCGGCGGGAGGCGCGCTGCGTCCCTGCCAGGCGCTCCGGGGCAGCCAGGAGCTCGCGGGGCGGCGGCGCAGTGGCGGGTCGGGGTCCGGTTGCCGCCTCGGGGAGAACAGCTGCCAACAGCTGGACGGGGCGGGAGCCTGGGGCCGGGGCCAGGCTGGAGCTGCCTGGGTCTCTAATCGCCCAGGGTGCTGCGGGGCCAGTGACTTCGGCGGAGCCGAGGGGAGAGGAGAGACTGGGGGCCAACCAGGCGCGGAGCTGGGGCGGGGGTTCAAGGCGGATCGTGGGGCCAAGAGCGAGCGAGCGAGCTCCAGTGTTTCTCTCTGCGGCGCTTCACGCAGGGCCCACGCGGGTGCCGCCGCTCCCCCTGCTCCGGCTCTTTACTTTTGTTGTTGAATAACCGACCTTACGCATTGGTTACCTGGGGTTTCCCGAAAGCTGGGTCTGGAGGCTACGCTGACTCCAAGGGGTTAGGTTGTCAAGGCTGCAGCTCTGTATGCCCTGCGGCGTTTGAGGGGAGCTGGTGGGTGGAGGGGTGCTGTCCACCTCCCAAGGCCACGGGATCAGAGGGTGGGAAAGTGAGAAAAGTCTAGAATGCCATTAAAATTCCAGTAACTAGCTATGTGACCTTGAGCAAGTTACTTAACTGCTCTGAGCCTCAGTTCCCTTAAAGTAAAATAGGTATTATTAATATTACAATCATCACAACAGCCTTAGGTTATCTGATGTTCATGGAGTGCAGAGCACACACTGCTTGATTTTTCCCCCTTTGTGTTGATGTAACATTACAGTGTGCCTCCCAGAGGTCCCCACGCGGTTCTGAACAGAAGGAAGATCCAGGAGGCTCGGGTTATCATCCTTTAAGAGGGAACGCTGGCGGTGGTGGTGTATGTGTGTTGTGGGGTGGGGGCATTCTTTCTCACCTTGACTTTGTCATGATTAGGCTTCCTCCAGGGTGCCTTGCTTGCTGACACCATTCCAGAGGCCAAGGTTAGGGCTGCCAGTGCACAGGCCCTGCAGATGGAGGGGGCGTTGTCAGACGGCTCTCATCATTACCCATCGGATTTGTCAGAATTATTTTCTTTGTGTTGGTTTTGGTTACTTGAAAATTGCCTTACGCTATATAGAAATTGATTGGGTCACATAAATGAAAAGGTGGAGGGTTTTGGCTTAAAGCTCTAGCGAGTTCCAGAGGCTCTTGTGAGGTTCCTGGGCCAGTTCTCTCAGGTATATCTTAGCTGTTTTTCTCTCTGTGTTGATTGGTGCTTAGTATGAAGCAATAAATAGCAGTTGCACCTTTAGGCTTATCTGCTCTTTCAGAGAGAGAGAGAGACAGAGCAGAGACAGAGACGGAGAGAGAGAATCCCATCTTCTTCATCCTTATAGCAATCTTATTTATTTATTTATTTATTTATTGAGATGGAGTGTCACTCTGTCGCCCAGGCTGGAGTGCAGTGGCACGATTTCAGCATGCAACCTCTACCTCCCAAGTCTAAGCGATTCTCCTGCCTCAGTCTCCCAAGCAGCTGTAACCACCACACCCTGCTAATTTTTGTATGTTTAGTAGAGATAGGGTTTCGCCATGTTGTCCAGGCTGGTCTGGAACTCCTGACCACAAGTAATCTGCTGCTTTGGCCTCCCAAAGTGCTGGGATTACAGGTGTGAGCCACTGCACCTGGTCCCTTATAGTAATCTTAAAGACATACTGGACCAAAGCAGAGCCAAGCCGTCTCAGCAGATAGGCAGTGGGTTTCCACAACAGGAGCGGGCACATGACCCACTTTAACAGACTGCCCCACCTCAGCTGCAGGGGATGCCAGTGGGAGGGTGCAATTCCCGATGAGAAGTCTGACAAAATAGGACATGTCCATTGCGCTATCTCTGTCTTTGCTTGCCAGCACCTAAAGGAAGTCTGCAGTAGACTGTAGACAGCCTGGGAGCCACATTCTGTCAGTCAAGTCTTTACCTAATGCATGGAAGGCATCCTGTGTGTCCATCCTTTCCTTCGTTGTTTTTTGTTTATTCATTCATTCGACATTTAATAAATGCTCAACGTATGCCAGGGCCTCTGCCAAGGGTGAAAATGCTTGCTTTTGAGAAGCTCACAGTCTAGTTGGAAAGACAGATGTATAGATAACATAGATGTATAGACAATGCTATCTGTACATCTGTCTCTCCAGCTAGACTGTGATAGCATTATCTGTCTGGGGACATAGTGAAGACTCCCCAAAGAAACTATAGTTGAACTTTGAATTGGAGATGAGAAGGGCTGCTCTTGGAGAAAAAGCTGAGATTTTCCAGGCCGTGTGGTAAGATTCTTTTTGTTGTCACATTATTTAGATTACTCTACTGCTTGCTTAGAACATCTGAAGGTAGGTTGTTCAAATTGGCCGCAGCTCTTGGGTGGCTTCTAGAAAATTATCTTGGTTTTCCAGGGTGACTAGAGCTTCATCATACCTTCATGTGACAACATTCAAAGTAGAAAAAAGAAGGGCAGGGCATGCTGCTTAGGCTTTCTCTAGATAACAAAGGATAAATTTTCCCCCAAGTTCTCTGTGTCACTGTCCAGAGTGGTTTCATGCTTACCCTGAAACCAGTCACTGGCAAAGGAGAAGAGGGGGCCTATGATTGTTTTGCCCAAGCTATTTTCTAGAGCTGCAGGACAGCTCACCTGTCCTGAGCACATCCATACCCTGTGTCTGAACACAATCAGAATTCTGTTAGCAAGGAAGAAAGTGAGACTGCCTGTCGGGCTGTTAGGTAGGCAACCAATCCTGTCTCCCACAGGTGGGGACAGGTGATGCAAGGTCTGGCATAGATCGGTAATCAGAAGTCCAATACTGTGGGAGACGCCTAGGGTGTGGCTGAGGGGAGAAAAGGAGCTGAGGTTGGAAAAGTAAGTAATACAGGATTACCTTGTATTAGATTCTGTGGATGTCACTAAGAAGCATAGTACATCTTGGTTCCATTCCTCAGCAAGCTTACGCTTGAAATCTGGAAAAGCTTTTCTGCGTTTTCCAAATTCCCAATGATGATAGCAACAGTGGCTCACTCTTTGGTGGTAATTCTCAAGGGGTGGTTTGGGGCGGGAGATTTTCAGAGCAGTTTTAAACCTGGTGTAGTTTGAAAAGCCTCACAGATGATTTTGCTGGGCTACCCACTGCCTATCTTCCCGTAACTCTCCCAGTCCTCTCTTGAGAACCCTTACTTGCTCTAAATCATGTCTTTGTTTCAGTATTGTTAACCGTCTTCAAACTAGCAGGCTGGGACTTGGTGAAGATGTAATTAATGGTAGATTTTGGACTAGAAAACAATTCTCCTGATGCCAAGTCCAATGAGTGATGGCTTTGGTAGTTGGATTTAGTAGGAAATTGGATTTAGCAGCCTCTACCATGAACTGCTTTGAAATCATGTATCCTATTTTCATCTGAAATGTGAAGTGAGTGCTGCACTTTGTTTCTGTTTTATATGGTAGACATTGGTGGACACTGGTGTTGGACTTTTGGAATTAGATTGGGCAATCAGGGATGCTGTTTCTCGTGATCCTCTATCCTCAATATCTAGTTAGCAAAAAGAAATTGGCAAAAAGACATGGTCACTAATCCTGGGAGAACGCGAAGTGGAGGGCAGCATATTTTCCTGTTTTCACCAGCAATGCTGCCGTGGGCTGGCCAGGATCACTGGAAGAATGTGAGGGAATGAAGTACCAAGAAATGCCTTGGGCAGTCTTTCATTTCACAAATATTTATTGAGCATCTACTGTGTGCCAGACACTGTTCTAGGTGCTGGAGATTGGAGCTTAAAGTCTACTGGAAGGAGGCATTTATTTGTGTTTTGTCTAATAAGTCAGGCAGTGAGAAGTACTATAATAAAAAATAAAATAGATCCAGACAAGAGTGTAGTCATTAGGAACAAACTGGATACAGTGCTGGAAATCACGGCTTATTCTCTCCTGTTTCCAGCAGAGATATATGATCTAAGCAGGTAAGGTTTTGGGCAAAAAAGACAGGCGTTCACTTGGAAAAAGAGGGTTAAATATTAAATAACCCAACTTTATAGGATTTCTTTCATACAGAATTTCTTTGCTTGTTTGTTATACCTCACATTGTTCCAAAATATGATTTGTAATTACTTACAAAAACATGGTACCAGGTGATAAGAAATAAATGAAGAAATATGAGCAAAGGGAAAACAAGGGTAATTTCTTTCATCATTATGTTCCAGAATTGTTTAGTTTTGGTAGCAGGGAAAAGAGGAAATATGGTGATTACAAATGCGGTGATTCACGCTCAGGGTTTGTTGTTTAAAAGATGAGAAAATAAATTTTGGTGCCTCAGGAACTTGTAATTTGTGTGTGTGTGTGTGTGTGTGTGTGTGTGTGTGTGTGTGTGTTTAAAGAACCAATTTTATTTGATGGAAAAAGTGGTCTCTTTACTAAGGACTTATATGAAATTTATCCCCTGAATTTAAAGAAAACTTTTTGGGGGGTCAACATAAAGCACACCAAAGGTTAACAGATCAAAAGTCTAATTCCAAAGTTAAATAATATGCTACAAATACAAATTGATGAGAGGTTATGTTTGGACCCATTACTGCCTGGAAAAAACACAGAAATACAAATAAAATTTTAAAGTGTCCAAGTGTTTGCAGATGTAATTTTAACTACCTAGTTTTATTGGATTTTCTTGTTGTTCAGTACAATTATCTGGATATAAGTCTTGTGTCAGAAATATAATTTGTAAATTACTCTTCCCAACAGCTACCTTGTCATTTTTATTTCCTTAACAGTGTCTTCTCAAAGCAAAATCTTTAATTTTGATAAATCAATTTATCAGTTTTTTAATGAATCCAACTTTTGTTGTTTAATTGAGGAATTCTCCAACTAACCAAAAAGTCTCGAACATTTTCTGTTTTC